CCAAAAGGTTTACACAATTAAGTTTGTCAGGATTGGTTGTGGAACTTGACAGTACAGTTTATGAATAGGGTGATACATTTTAAATGTGTTCTGTAAAAAACTTGCAGTATTTTATAGGTAAGAGATTTAATGGTATTTGTCTACCTTCACGGTGAGTCACCACACTTTGTATATGTAATTGGTCTTGAAATATATTTGGTTTAAATGAATATCTTAAAGATGTCTTGTATTGAACAATTCAGAATGAAGAAGTATGTTTAATATTACCTAATTTTCATGTTATGGGTTAATTTTCATTAAATTTTTGTAGCATAATGTTGAGTTGAAATATAAATGCTTTTTAATTTCTGTGTCTTATTTTCTGAGAATTAACAAATCTTTTCTTTTAAAAGATGTTGATACCAGGTAAAGGAATATTGCAATATTTTCAAACACCTTCAGTGCCACATCATGTGAAGTGTATATCAGTTAAGTTTTAATACTTATCGCAGTGAAGCGACGTGTTATTGATGTAAACAAGACGTTTATTTCTATGGGTTGAAAACCTTGTGTCTAAGATTTCTTGTACACATAGATCTGTTGACTTGTAAATCATGTTGAACTTTTACATCTATCCTGTTTCTTCCTGAAATTCTATCATACGTTTTTTCTCCTGTGTAAAATTTAGAAGTAGTTATCATTATTCTGCTCTCATAGTTACGCTATTAAAAAATGAGGTCTTCTTAAGTTGAAAAATTCATCCATTTGTTGTTGTTTTTTCCAATTTTTTGTAAATATTTATGCACTTCGTGTATCTCTTTAGTCATAAATATTCGATGCACGCACTTTCTCCATAACAATAAAGTAAGTAAAATGGTGATCATTGTTGGCAGTGCAAAATATTTTTGAGAACCTGCGAATATTAAGGATTTTAATTGTAGAATGATTTGGAAAAAAAAACAAATTTGTGCATGTGTATAGATTTTAATAGAACTGTTTTCCAAAGAATGTAGATTGTACCTTATTTTTGAAGTGCATAGTTTCCACACACACAAGAAAAAAAATGTGTATTCAGGCAGAGGAATAGTAAATCGTAAAACCTTTAATATATGACTATACGAACGAAACAGAAACGCACTTCACAAGGCTTACTACTTTTTGTTTTTTGTAACTTTTTATCTTGGGGATTTTTTAAACTGTATTTTATATTACATTTCGGTAAGTAAGTTTATAATACTAATTAAATTCTAACATTTTGCTTCTGGTTGGTTTTTATGAAATTTTACTGAATTGTACAACTGTTATAAATAGTCACATAAAAGATTACTTGATATACTGGTGCGTGTGTACGTATGAACATTTGGCCTGTATCTTTCAAGGAATAACTTTATTTTAAACAGTAAAAAAGTAATCTTTTATTCCTTTGAGGTAAAAATCTCATCCTGCTTTTTTTAAACTTTTTTGTTTCTTATCGGAAATAACGTAGTATAAATTTAGTTGTTTGTAGTGGCAGAACGTAACTCGTTACATATGAGTGTAATGTTACATTTAGTTTTGATTTATCCAATCAGGTTCCTTAAGTTTGAGATTTTATAAACCATTTTGTAATTAATGTGGTTATTATTAGTCCTAAGAAGGGTTAGACATGTTTGTTGTTGTTGTTTTTATATAATAGAATGAACTTACCATT